GGTATGATAATCAAGTATTTTATAGACAAATTCTAATAAAAATACCCTGAAACCAATAAAAAAGACAATCCTGTCAGATATAGCAATCTTTCCTCATCTTATGAAGCTTAACTCTGAGACAATAATCAATTATGAGAAGTGAAAATAAATGAAGCCTCGTAAGTAAGCCTCATAAGTCTTACCCAATTATTTACATCCTTTACCAAAATTTCATAGTTTTATTGCATTCACAGCTTTTATCCACACATTGCTTTATTACATAATTGTGGCCTTGTTATGAATATATTTTTATGCTGCTTTTCATGTTGTTACATAGGCATTTTTATTACACATAATTATAAACCTATCATTGTTACTGTATAATATTCCACCTTGTATAGTGGTTTTCAAACAGGGATAGTATTGCACCCCAGGGGACATTTGGCAGTGTCTGGAGACATTTTTGGTTTCCGCATCTGAAGGGGATGTGCTGCTGGCACTTACTGGGCAGAAGCTGGAAATGCTGCTAAACATTCCGAAATGCACAGGACAGCCCTCACAACGAAGAATCGTACAGCACAGCATGTCGGTAGTACCAGGGTGGAGGAACCCGCCCTCGTGATGTACCGGGGCTCCTGTGATCACTTTCGTGATGTCAGCTGTTTAGGCTCTTTTCAAATTCTTCCTAAACTACAAAACTATGATAAACATTTCTTTACGTAAAAGCCTTTTACCATATTTAGGATGTTTCCTTAGTACCAATTCCTGTAAGTGCCAGTTGGTGAGAAGATTGTATGAATATTTTTATGTGTCTTAATACTCTTTGGCTTTCCAAGAGTTGTACAGTTTACACTCCCACTGCTCAGGTATTGGAGTCTTAGGGCTCCACTCCTGGCTGCGTTCAGGCTTCTGCTCAAACATCTCTTTGAGCAGCATTCCCCAATCGGCCTGTTGGAAGCAGCATCCCCCTCCTCCTAAGGAAGATCTTCAAAATATTTAGTGCTGATCATTGGAAGGGACTTGAGCTGGCTCAGTGTCCCGCGTGTGCAAGCCGAATGTGGGGCCCCCTCTCCGCAAGCCCCTCACCCCAGGCCCTCCTGTCTCCTTACCCTGCTTTTTCTCCAGAGCGCATTTTGCTTCCTGACATATTTTATATTTGTTGTCTGTCCCCCGCTATTCGTATATAAGCTCCATGAGGAGAGGAACTTTGGCTCTTGTAAACCTCTGTATTTCTATACCTAGAACAGGACTGGGCACATTAAAAACACTCACTACATTTTAGATAAATGAATGAATAAGGAGTGAATTAATGAATGAATTGGGGTTGTTTTGTTTTGTTTTACCTAGGACAAAAATGCTCTTTAGTGACCCTGGGAAACCTGACACTCTATAGGTAGTGTTCCTCCACATACAATAAATGTGTCAATTTTGATCCATTTTCTTTTTCTGTAGTACCTTTGTAAATTAGCCCAATTGAGAAATGGTGTTCTATACAGACTTTATCTCCGATATTAAATCACGTAGAGCAGTTTTGCAATCTGCAGAGAGGTATTAAAGACGAGCATGATCCATCTATTTAGCCAAATGCACCGGAACTCTATATAGTCCATCATAGGTCTCAGTCTGATACTACCTGAGAATTTATGGCAGCTGCTTCTTCATATCAAATTAATACAAATATTTAATATGTGCATGTTCTACTCAATATTACACCATAGGACTCTTACTTAATTTTCACATTTCTCATCTGAAAGCCCCTAATTTGTTAGCATCCAAAATGATTTTAATAGACAAAACTTAGAAAATAAGAACGCTTTATAAGCAGATACATTTTAGTTTCTTAGAATTGAATTCCATTCATAAATAGCACATAGAATCAGAAATACTAAGTATTTATTGAATTAAAGTGAACTTTTTAGGGAAAGTGGGAAAAATATACACATTTGTCAAAATAAACAAAAACACTTTTATTATTATAAATCATGATTGATTATCATCCACTCACTGGCTAATTGCAAAATATTCTTGTATGTTAGAGGTTTCCTCCTCATTAGTACAATATTGGTGTGTTAGAGTAGGTGGTATTAAATGTTAAGGCATATAAATGAAACACACTACACTGGTTTTAAAAATCTGGACATCCGGGATTTCCCTGGTGGCGCAGTGGTTAAGAATCCGCCTGCCAACACAGGGGACACGGGTTCGAGCCCTGGTCCGGGAAGATCCCACATGCCACGAAGCAACTAAGCCCGTGGACCACAACTACTGAGCCCACGCGCCTAGAGCCTGTGCTCTGCAACAAGAGAAGCCACCACAATGAGAAGCTCGGGCACTGCCATGAAGAGTGGCCCCTGCACGCCGCAATTAGAGAGAGCCTGTGTGCAGCAACGAAGACCCAACGCAGCCAAAAATTTTAAAAATAAATAAATTTATATATATAAAACAAATCTGGACATCCTTGGCATTAAAGTTAACAAGTTTCTTAAGGTAATCATTTTTAAAAAGAAAAAATAAGATTTGGAAGTGGGAGTAAGAAAAACTGTGTGTGAGATTGAAACTTCTTGTTACGTACACAACAACAAACTCCTAATCAGCCTGTCACCTGGGACACATTCTAAGCAGCTCAAGACACACAGCCTGACCTTTGAAAAACTTCCCGAATATGCTAATTCGTAATCCTTTCCTCTGAAGCTTTGGACATGACTTTCTCAGATTCCTATTATCTTGCTTCAATCCTAGGGGAGTTGCTTTAGTTCTGAATTATCCACATGAGAAATGAACCGATGCAAGTAATTTTTTCCTTGCTGCTAAATTGTTTAATGAAGGTATGTATTGAAAACTATAGCATTAAGTTTCCTAATGGAAACTATTAGAGAAGTCTCTTACAGCACTTTTACTTCAGGTAAGTGTTTTAAAGGACTCGGGAAGTTAAAAGCACATTTCTGGGGCTTTTTAGAGAGTAAATGAAAAACATTCCACATTTTGTTTATACAGTATGTCTAGTTCTAATCTCACAGGATACATAAAAATGTTCAAAGAACCACCTGGAGAAAAAAAATGAAATGGTTAGAAAATAACTAAGGCCAATGAGGAAACATTGATAACTGGGGTCATTTACTGTATATTCACAGAATCCACCTACATGCCACTCTCCTTCTGGGGTGCCTTCCTGTGAAAGGTTGTATTTTCCAAAAATAGCTCAACAATAGCTTTCAGCCCACATGTGACTCATTGAAACTCATCCCAGTGAGAGGTGGATCTATGGTCCCTTGCCTTGAATCTGGATGGACTTGTGACTACAATGAAAGTGATGCTACGTGATTTCCGAGGTTAAGTCATAAAAGGCAACACAGCATCTGCCTGGTTCCCTTTATAACCATGCTGTGAGTTACTCTTGTCTTCAGTTTATGGAAAAGGAAACAGCTAGTATGTTGTAGGACTAATCACACTACTTCTCAGAGAAACTTCTGTCTCATGAGTCTAGGATGAGGAAAGCTGGAAATATAAATATCAGTATTATCTGGAGGAAGCCAAAAAAGTCAGAAAGACCTGGAAGATGTGAGCATTAAGTCTACCGAAATGGTTAGACCAGGGACTCCCAAACTGTGGCTCAGGGGCCACATGCTTCTAAGTACAGTATAATCTACCCATCCATACCCAGATCCTACCACCACCACCTTTACTATTGAAATTTCTGGTAGAAAACTTGTTACTGAGAGCCAATGCAGTGTTTCGCTCTATATATCTTTACTCAAGCTTACTGACATTTCCTTTTCTAGCACTAATGTTAGACATCCCCCCCCCTTCAGTCATACCCCCTTTATCACTCAGTTAAAGCCCAAACTAGTTATTATATTATCTCAGTGGGTTCCTGCTCCCACCCAAGGTGCTAGTTCCCTAGTTCCCATGCCATCTGGGTGCTCATCCAGACTGGGGGTGGAATCAATGCAACACAAGTGTTATTTCCTAATTGATTATGTTAAAATCAATGTTGTGGTTAAAAACAAAAAACTTTCATAACAGTTATGTCTTTACTTGTTAATAGATTATTGATCTCCATTATTGATATTTTTGGCAGGTGGGACCAGCTCGTAATCAACTTTGATCCTTTTCCAAAAGCACAGATGCTTTCTCAACTGCCATATGTCCCACATATAATACCTGCTTATTTCGATGGCAGAACTAGTTCCATATGCCAGAATATGAGCATAGTCCCTCAGAAAGTTTAATTTTTGTCCCTAAAGAGAAACATTCCTTTCCTCCAAGGAGAAACAAAGTTTTATTTGTACATCTTGGTACCTAAGTCACACAGCATGCAATTCACACAAAGTGCACAATTCAGTGATTTTTAGCATATTCAGAGTTGCACCTCCATTACCACAATCAACTCTACATTTTCATCTCCCCCCGAAAACCCCCAAACTCATTAGCAGTCACTCCCACTTGCCCCCAAACCCCCCAGCCCTAGGCAACCACTAATCTACTTTCTCCATATAGAGATTTGACTATTCCGGACATTTCAAACAAATGAAATCATACAATATGTGGCTTTTCATGCCTGGCTTCTTTCACTTAATGTTTATCCATGTTGTAGCAAGTAACTGTACTTAATCTCTTTTTAATTGCCAAATAATATTCCATTGTATGGATATGCCACAGTTTGTTTATTCATTTATTATTGGATGGGCAGTTGACTTGTTTTGATTTCTGGCTGTTATGAATAATGCTGCTATGAACATCTGTTTACAAGGTGTTGCGTGGACGTTTTCATTTCTCTAATACCGAAGAGTGGAATTACTGGATCATATGGTAACTCTATGTTTAACCATCTGAGGAACTGCCAAACTGTTTTTCCAAGCAGTTGTACCATTTTGTATTTCCACCTGCAGTTTATGAGGGCTCCAATTTCTCCACATCTTCACCAGCACTTGTTATTATTTTTTCACAGTAGCTATCCTGGTGACTTTGAAGTGGTATCTCATTGTAGGTTTGATTTGTATTTCCCTGATAGCTAATGTACGTTAAGCATCTTTTCATGTGCTTATTGGCCTTTTGTATGTCTTCTTTGGAGAACTGTTAATTGTGATCCTTTGTCCATTTATTTTAATTGGGCTCTTTGACTTTTTCTTGAATATAGTAGTTCTTTACCTATTCTAAGTACAAGTTCTTCTCTCACTTGGTATATGATTTGCAAACACTTTTTCTCATTCTATGGGTTGTCTTTTGCCTTCTTGAGGTATTCTTGGAAGCACAGAAGTTTTTAATCATGATGATACCCAATTTATCTATTGTTTTTCTTTCAGTGCTTGTGCTTTTGGTGTCATTTATTTAAGAAAGCACTGCCTAATCCAAGATCATGAAGATTTACACCTATGATTTCATCTAAAAGTTTTATAGTGTTTGCTCTCATATTTAGGTATTTGGTCCATTTTGAGATAATTTTTATATGTGCTGTGAGGTAGGGAGTCCAACTTTATTCTTTTGTATGTGGATATCCAGTTGTTTCAGCACAATTTGATGAAAAGATTATTTTCCTCAATTGAATTGTCCTAGCACCTTTTTCAAAAGTCAATTGACTGTAAATATGAGTTATTTCTGGACTCTCAATCTATTCCTATTTTACACTTTTTCTTAGAATTGATTTCTTAATATTACTTTTGCTTCATTCATTGATATTGTATACAAATACAATCAATTTTTGAATATTAATCCTGTATCATGCAACTGCTGATCTCATGTATTAGTTCTAATGTTTTCTTAGAGTATTCCTTTGAATTTTCTTTGTATAACATTAGAGATAGTTTTACCTCTTCCTTTCTAATCTAGATGTCTTTTACTTCATTTTCTTGCCTAATTGCCCAGCTATACCCTCCAGTACAAGTTGAATGGAAATGGCAAGAGTATCCTTGTCTTGTTTCTGATTTTAGGGGGGAATCCTTCAGTCTTTCATCATTAACTATGATACTAGCTATGGTTTTTTCATAGATGCCCTTTATCAGGTTGAAGAATTCCCTTCTATTCCTAGTTTGTTGAGTATTTTTATCATAAAAGTGTGTTGGATTTGTTAACGCTTTTCCTGTGCCTAATGAGGTGACCATGTGGATTTTGATTTAGTCTTACCTATTTCCTTCTCCAAACATTAAAAGAAAGCTGTAAGAAATGTCACTTTCTAAATGAATCATCATTTTACAAAAAGGCATAAAATAGTATTATTGCAAAGCTTTGGTGATCTAAAAGCATCCAACTGAATCCGTTTGAAAAATAAAAGCAAAAGAAAAAGCTGCATGAAGAAATTTTTTTCTTACTAAAAAGATAAAACTTCATCTGCTAATTATCGGAAAATATATTATTGTAGGAAAAAAGTTGCATAATAAATTAACAAGTAGTATAATCATTGTCACTTTTACATACACATGAAAAAATACATGATAGAATTATTAAAGTTCCCTGGTAATTACTGGCATCTCTTGTTCCAAATGTTTTCATATTAAAATAGAGATTTATATTTCAAAAACACCATCGTATTGACTTAATCAAAACATATCATGCTTTATGTTTTAAAATATCACATTAGCAAGCATGTTTGTTACATAAAAGTTCAGAGCTGTGTTGGCTGGGAAGATAAAAACAAAATATAATTCTCGATTATGGTTTGATTGTGCTCTGTGTAGTATACATAATGCCCTCTGCTTTAATTCGCTCCAATATTGGTCCATAGATCTCCTTTGAAAAGGGCCCCATCAGGCCTTTAGCTTGAATTTCACCTAGAAGAAAATAAATTTGTAGTTACCATTTTAAAGGTGGTATGAAAGGTTAACTTCTACAGCAAGAGTCTCCATACAGCAGTAAACTGTGAGTCAACAAATTGTTGGAGGCCTAGGGATTTTTCAAAATAGCAGCTTAAATGTCCCCTACTAAATTATTACTTTGGGACTTCCCTGGTGGTCCAGTGGGTAAGACTCCGCGTTCCCCATTCAGGGGACCTGGGTTCGATCCCTGGTCGGGGAGCTAGATCCCACATGCATGCTGCAACTAGTAGTTCGCATGCTGCAACTAAGAAGTCCACATGCCACAACTAAGAGCCCACATGCCGCAATGAAGATCCCGTGTGCCGCAACTAAGACCCGGCGCAGCCAAAATAAATACATAAATATTTTTTTAAATTATTACTTAATCAACACTGTAAGAAAAAGCAGTTAATTGAAAGCACAGCTGGAGTTAGGGACAGAGTCTGAATTTATACACTTAACTGCATTAACTACCAAATCAGAGAATAAAGTCTACTAAGAAAGTAAAGTCAACCTAACTGGTCTGCTTTATTTGCTGATGTCATTTTTTAAAAAGCATAAGACCAACAGAATGAAATTAAAACCAGTCTGGTTATTTGGGCACTGGCATCTGTTAGGGTGGCTGAAAGAGTAAGTCTGGGCACTTTCCTTAAAGACTATGATGCCCTCATCCTGCATCACTTCTTCACTCTGGTTCCTCAATAACTAAGTAGGTGGTTTAAATTTTTTTTTTTTTTTTTTTGCGGTACGTGGGCCTCTCACTTCTGCGGCCTCTCCCGTTGCGGAGCACAGGCTCCGGACGCGCAGGCTCAGCGGCCATGGCTCACGGATCCAGCCGCTCTGCGGCATGTGGGATCTTCCCGGACCGGGGCACGAACCCGTGTCCCCTGCATCGGCAGGCAGACTCTCAACCACTGCATCACCAGGGAAGCCCTAGGTGGTTTAATTTGATATTGGCTAATATGATACTGTACGTTTTTTCCCCATTATTTCCCATTTATATGTTTTGGTGTTTTTTACTCCCCTCACACCTTCACAGGGGCCAAATGGGGTGTCATATTCAGAGCTAATGCTTATTGAATGCAAACATCATCTTAAGGGGAGAGTGGAGAGTGGAGAGTTGAAATTTGAATTCATTTAGTTCAAAATATATATTTAGTATTGATAGTATGTTGAGACATGAGGATTAATAAAATGTGGCCTATATTTTTGAAGATCTGGAAATGAATACCCTCTGCTATTTCAGTGTTACCCCCACAAATACAAAAAAATAAGGAAAGAAAAGAAGGCATTTAACATTCCCTGGGGAACCCCTCTTTGTGGTAGGAGCTTTATGTATCATTTCACTTTAGTGTCAAAACAACCCTATGAATTAGTCATGACAATCCCCACTTTAAAGATGAAGGAACTCTGACTCAGAGATGCTAAGAAACTTGCACCCCATCACTCAGTCATCTTGTGACTGAGCTGAGACAGAAATCAGGTCTAACTCCAAAGCCAAGGTTTTTTATTCATCACAAGGTGCTCTCCCAGTCAGTCAGCCCTTAGATCTTCTGAACTGGCTCACTTTTAGTGAAAGCCAGTGTCATACTCAAGACTAATTATTTGATATCCAGGCCCTGAATGACTTGGAGATAATATGGAGACAAACTTGGTCCCCCAGTGAAAGAACTTACCATCAAGTAACATCTTGGCTGCCATAGCAGTGGGTAACCCCACAGTTTTAGCCATAGCTGAAAAACCATTGACATCCCCGTAAACCACAAGATCAATAGTTTTATTTTCTAAATGTCCAGAAGGATGTCTGATTCCAAAGTTGTCTCTCATCACAATCATATCTTTCTCTCCAGGGCCTTAAAATAAATAAACATACAGTTTAAAATGTCACTATCATTACACCTGCAGTATCGTACTTCATCCCCCTGCACCTGCCCTTCTGCTCTCGTTTCCCTTCCCATTATGTATATCCTTAAACAATTATGTATACTGCTTTTTAGCCCAAAGACCAAATTAAAAATTCAAGGAAATGATAACTCTAACCAGGTTCCTCTGTCTAGGTGGGTATCACTATAACCTGGTTACAGACACGAGGGTACTGCTGTAGAGGCCATCCCTGCTTCTCCCCAAAACGCTCCTTCAGCATTTTCCTTAATGTGTCAAAAATTAAAAGTAAAACTAATGATTTTTTCCTTTGCCATATTACCCAAGTTCACTCTTACTTAATAGTTCTCTTATTCTCCCCTCTGGAAAAATAGTCCAAGTGTTCTTTCCCCATTCCCACTGTGTAGCTCCCGCCCTTCAGTCTAATTCACTGGTTCTTATGATTCCTCTGCTGGGATGTTTAGCCAATAGCCCACGGCCTACCATAGGAAAGCTTCATGGCCAAATGCTTGGAGAGTGCATCCACGAGAGACTCTGCCCGAGGGACTTGTTCATCCCCAAGCAAGCCCAACCTGAGAAGCACGAGAGACGGCTGCATTAGTTCAAGTCCTATACATATGCTCAGTTGGGAAGCAGAAGGGAACGCTCACTGGATTTTATCTTGAAAGGGCAGAAACACAAGACGACAGTTCAAGTTATAGGACTCTCAAGTTATTGTAAAATAATAATAATGAGAGTAATGTTTTAACCTTTAGAATCATCCCCAGACTCTCCCAGGAGTGTTGCCTGGAGCTAGACCTGATGCATTGTAAGTACACACTGTTGCAAAGCTTTTCATGAGATTAATTTACAGGTTAGTTCTCCCACATGAAGGATACCAGCAGAATGGGCCACAGCCACATGAATAAGTGTTTTAAAGTAGTTAAAGGAAGACTGGGAGAATGTCCTACAGGAGAGAAAAGATATCCCACCTTTCTCAGGAACTGAGTAGTGAAGCTGCTCAAAAATAAGTATTTCCCAAGTTATAATTGCCATTGAATTTCTCGCTTTACCTACTTTTTATCCCCACATGAACATGGTACGTGGTAATCTCTGTACAACAGGCCAACATTAGAGCAGCAAATTAATCAAAGACAATGTAAAATGTTTGCTTCTATCTTGACTTTTCTTTGACTAGAAAGCACTAAGTAATCATTGATCCAGTATTTTGCTCTAGGTTGACTGGTGGGTACCTACCATTCAACAGCCTCCAGCTGGGTATTGTCTCCTTCTAGTTTCTTAAAGACAGCTTCCTTAAGCACATCACACTTGGAGGAGGGTGAAATTCCCACTAGATCACAGAGGAGTTCTTTCTGGTTAGAAAAACAAAGATACAAATTCTAAGCTCCAAATAAAATAAAAAATGAGTTGAGAAATTATCCTATTAAGACACTGGACCTCAAAAGAACCTCAAATTTTAAATTAGAAATAATTAGAAATAGTAAATTGTGGCACACACGTGTGCATACACCCATCTGCACACCCACACATCAATAAATGGGTATTTCAGAATAATATTTCAGCAATAAAAGAGTCATGACACCAAATCAATACCAAAAAGGTGATACCATATTTACCAACACATTGACTACCTTTGCAGGTCCTCTCCATCACCTTATCCCTTATTATTCCTCACCGTCTAGAAGTCAATTTTGGCCAGGATAGAGTGAAAGGGGCTTATTGCTGTGGTTGCTAGTAGCAACTAGAGTTCTTTTGTAGGTTCAAGAAATGAGGAAAATTGTGCAGATAATAAAATCTCAAAGGACGAGCACTTAAACAGTGGTCATAGCTTTTTCTAATTTCTAAACAAGACTTTTTCCAGGCTCCCAAGGAAAATGTTATGCTCTAGATCAAGGATCAACAAACTAGTTCACAGGCCAAATGGAGCTCACCACCTGGTTTTGTAAATAAAAAGTTTTATTGGAACATAGCCATGCTCATTTGTTTACGAGCAGTCTGAACTGAGTAGCCTGAGAGACCACATGACCCATAAAAGCCTAAAAAATTTACAATCTGGACTTTTACCAAAAAAAAAGTTTGCCAGCCCCCGTTCTAGACTGTAGCTACCAAGACAAGGGGACCAGCCCCAAGAATGCCTGCACCAACCTTCCCAATCAAACTGCCTCAATATCAGATTCACTATGGATATTTATTCACTCCTGTCCAACAAGTAAATTTGTGAAATCTGAAACTTAGATTGAAAAGACTCTCAGATACACAAAAGAACTGAATTTAAAAGCAACTGGCAGGCTTCCCTGGTGGCTCAGTGGTTGAGAATCTGCCTGCCAATGCAGGGGACACGGGTTCGAGCCCTGGTCTGGGAGGATCCCACGTGCCACAGAGCAACTAGGCCCGTGAGCCACAACTACTGAGCCTGCGCGTCTGGAGCTTGTGCTCTGCAACAAGAGAGGCCGCAACAGTGAGAGGCCCACGCACCACGATGAAGAGTGGCCCCCGCTCTCCGCAACTGGAGAAAGCCCTCGCACAGAAACAAAGACCCAAAACAGCCAAAAATAATAAATTAATTAATTATTTTTTTTAAAAAAAGCAACTGGCTAACCAGAATACCCAAGATCCAAGTTTCTTTGGGACACTTAATGGGATTAGCAGTATTGATTCTTTTCTCTTTGTGATAAATTTCTAGCATCTCTATTGGAATATGGGCACATTAATTTAAGTTGAATGACCAGCTGGTAACAAGTTAATTCCTGGCAGTTAGTGGAAGCTCTAGATTTTAATACAACACAGATATGGGCATAAACTCAGTAATTAAAAACTCAGATTACGCATGGTTACAAATGGTCAAATAAAGGAACGAATGGGATTCGGGCGTTGGGAATCTAGTTCTGCGATACCACCAGGAGCTCTCCTGCTTTCTCAGTTTCAGGAGGCCCAAGCTTAATTCCTGTCATGGGGCCACCACTCAGACAAGCGGCAGAGCCCAGAGCACAGTGCAGAGAGCAAGCGCATCTCTGCTCAGGGCTGAGGGAGCAATCAAGTGGTAGAAGTTGTTGCAGGAAACGGGCCCCGAGAGTCAGCCTCCGTGTCCTCTCCATCCTCCCCAAACAATGAAGTTTGGAAAGGGGGGCTTTGGGGCTAGGACTTAACTTCCTGCACATAAGCCACAGAATGGGTTCTTTGCTGGTCCAAACCCACGTTCAAACCTGACCATTTCAGAAGGCATTTCTTTTTTTTTTTTTTGCGGTACGCGGGCCTCTCACTGTTGTGGCCTCTCCCGCTGCGGAGCACAGGCTCTGGACGCGCAGGCTCAGCGGCCATGGCTCACGGATCCAGCCGCTCCGCGGCATGTGGGATCTTCCTGGACCGGGACACGAACCCGTGTCCCCTGCATCGGCAGGCGGACTCTCAACCACTGCGCCACCAGGGAAGCCCTCAGAAGGCATTTCTGAAGAGCAGCAAACAATGTGTAATTCCGGAGTCACTCACCCAGGTGAGCGGATTGGCATCAGGTCGAAGGGCAGGAAATGCACCTCTGTTTATAAGACCCAATTTTACAAATCCATTCAAGGCTTTGGCATATCCCTGTAACAAGAGTTATTAAGCAATATATAAAAATTTGTCTTCAAAGAAACACTTTTTTTAATTTTTTGAAAATAAGGACCTATTTTTGTAATTCATTTAGAAAACAGGCTGAAAATAGCCATTTGTACTGCTAGTATTGATGCAGCCACCTTCGGGTTCAAACCAAAATCAGTAGTGTCACAATTCCACTGGTTTACACAAGAGCCCTTGCAAAACGTGGGTCTTTACTTTTGTTTCTGGGTAACATGCGAGTGGTGTTTTCTGACAGCATAAGGGAAAGTTTCATCTTGTGTTACATGCTCAGGTCAGCAGAATTGTATTTAACAGAATAGTTGTTCTCTCTCTTATAATGGAAGAAGGAACTTGTAAGAATATCTCCCAACGAAGATAATCCATCCTACTGATTAAGAGCCATTACCCTAAGGTATATAAGGAGCAAAGGGAAAAGGCAGGCATCAGAGAGGTATTTCTAAAATGCCATCACTCTGATAAAAATTCCTCACATGTCCTTCATTCTCTACAGGACAGGCTGAGGTTCTTGTAGAACCCATCCCAATAAACCCCTCCAGCCTGACTCACTAATCCTCCTTTCCACCACTCACCATCCTCCAAACAAGCTGCTGTGCTCTTCCAGAGAGCTGGGGCTCGGTGCACGCTGCTCCCATGCTTGGAACGTGGTAACCCCTCTTTCTCATCTATGAAATGTTTACTTTTCTCTTAAGACCCAGCTCAGCACACATACTGAGCTCCCTAGGTGAGTGGGCACTCCCTTCTTCTCTGTATTCCTGTAGCATTTTGTACACACCTCTATGATGGCACTTAACACAATCTATGTAATTAATTGTCTATTCAGCTGCTGAACTGCAGGCATAGAAAGTATGTGTATGTGTGGCCTTCATCCCCATGTCCTCACCCCATTATCCATCATTCCAATATGCTGAAAGAGAACAAATGACTGGATGAATAGATTCTGAATGAAGATGAAGCGAAGGAAGATCATAATGTATGTTCTCCTGTGAGCAAGTTACACTGGGGGCCAGGAGGGAGGGGGGATGGGAAAGCCAAAATAAGGAGCTTTATAGCCACTGCAATTGAGAGACAGCAGGTGGGGGGAGGAGAAGAAGAAGAAGAAGAGAAGAAGGGCAGGAAATTATTTCAGGAAGCAGTAAAATTATTAAGATATAAAATAGTTCCTGTTGCCACTGGACGTTTCACAATTTAATGTGTGAATTCTCACATGTCTGAACGGCTGTATTATTCAAACTGTCCAAAGTTACTAATTAAAGAATTAAAATTCATTTGCTCTAACCCAAGGTAAATATACTTCAAAGAGGAGAAGCAAAAAAGCAATACCCCGAGCCTGCTTCTAGGATCTGATGAATGCTGGGGATCCCTTCTTCCAACATCTCAAATACTGAGACACTTCTCAGCTATTTCTTCATCTCAGAAATAATTTTACGGTGACCTCTAGAAACGAATTTGTTTTGTGTATTCATTTATCAGTAAGTACTTAGCAAAGTGCTGCTATGTGTGAGACTTGTGCTAGGGGCTGAGGCCATAGAGGCGAAAAATGCAGTCCCTACCCATGAAGACACTACAGTCCAGGAGAAGGGTCAGATAAGTCCAACAAATAAGGCCTGGCACATAGTGAGCAAAACCACAACCACTGAGGACTACGATACACTGGGCTATCGCAGGTGCTACAACAGAGGTAAACGCCGAGCTGTGGGCGCACAAGGAGGGGAACTCACGTAGATGTCGGGGAGGGGAGTCAAGGAGAGGAATTAAGAAAGATCCTGTAAGGTGATACAAGCTGGGTCTGGAAGGACTCAGGTGACAGGCAGGTGCAGGAGAGAAGTCAAGGTCTCCCTGTCATACTTGGGTGATAGGGTCTCATCTCTAACGCTGGAAAGAATCTTCAGGTTACTGAAGGGTTGCTGACATTGCTCGGGACATGAACTCTGTGACATCTTCCATCCTCTGGGGTTCTGTGGGGATGGCTCTCATCCATGCATATCCTTGAGAGCTTTAGTTAATTCTTAAATCTCTTAAAATCCTCTATTTCTGGGTCTATATGTTTGGCAGGAGCCTAAATCTATTGGAAAATCCTAACTCCTGAAACCCCTGGGGAAAAGAAACAGAATCAAGAATCTGCCAGATCTGAGGACAGTATGGCTGCAATTCACACTAGAATTTCTGCTGTGCTTGAAGGCTTGTGAAGCATCCATGGTTCCTCGATCTCCTTAGGATGTTATCACTGACAATTCATTTAATTCCTAGACAATGAGGACATCACATTCATGAGAGCACAGGTACCACGGAATCTCACAGGGCGTCGAGATCTGAAATCAGGTCTCTAATTTTTAGAGATCTATGTATTTTAGGTACGCTGGTTGTAGTGGGTTGAGTAGTGTATCCCTCATAACTCATGGCCACTCAGAACCTCAGAGTATGACCTTATGTGGCTCTTTGCAAATATAATTAGTTAAGGACCTCAGTATGAAGCGACCTATATTTGGGGTCCTAAATCCAGTGCCTGGTGTCCTGATAAGAGAGGAGAGGATACAGTGATATAAACAAGAGAAGGTGGTATGAGGATGGAGACAAAGAGATGGGACCAGTATGTCTATAAGTTAAAGAGCATCAACAATCACCAGCAACCACCAGAAGTGAGGCGAGTGGCAAGGGACAGTTTCTCCCTCGACGCCTCCAGAAGGCTTGCCCTGCCCACACTTTGATTTCAGACTGTGACCTCCTGGATGGTGAGAGGATAAATTTCTGTCGTTTTAAGTTTGTAGTAATTTATTATAACCACCCTAGGAAACAATTACACTGATTGTCTTAATCTGGCCACACTTGTAACTACTCTTTTGTGATTACAAAACGTGTGCTGGAATCTCTGCAACGGCGGTGCTTCCTGGGTCCCGCGGCAGCTTCCCTGGTGAGTCAGGCGTGGCTGGCTGCTGGGCAAAAATCAGATCCGCCTCTGTCCCATCACCCACGACGGAAACCCTCCAAGAAAAAGTGGTCCCAGACGCGTGTGCCTGAGGATTCCGCACGAAAGAGGTGCCCAAAATGAAGACCCTGACGCGCCCGGGGCTGGCAGTGTGTTTTGCGCTCACCAGCACGTGCACCGGCTTGCCGCTCGTGCACAGCAGCCTTGGCGGCCAGAAGGCGCAGCCCCCGCAGCAGCAGCCGGCAGCGGCGACCGGCAGCGCGCAGCGGCCCGCAGAGAGCAGCCCCCTGCCGCGCCCCGAGGCCCCCGCGCGACCGCGGTCACTGCACGGATACCTTGGCGTGACGGACCACAAGGAAGATCTCCAACACTTGGCTCAGCACTGGCTGGTTCACAATGACGATGCCCTGGAGCTCTGCGACAGGACCAATGTTTATGGCATGGATCCCCAAGACTTCTGCAGGGATCCCAATCACCCTTCAGTACCTTATCACTATTATGAACCTTTTGGACCTGATGAATGTGCAATGTACCTCTCCCGTGAGTGAGGACGGAAGGGTAGTCATCACCGCTTTATCACAGAGAAATGAGCCTTTAAGGACTGCGCGCGGGGCTTCCCTGGTGGCGCAGTGGTTGAGAGTCCACCTACGGATGCAGGGGACGCGGGTTCGTGCCCTATCCGTGAAGATCCCACATGCCGCGGAGCGGCTGGGCCCATGAGCCATGGCCGCTGAGCCTGCGCGTCCGGAGCCTGTGCTCCGCAACGAGAAAGAACTGGGCACAGACATTAAATTTTCACTTTTCTCAACCAGACCGGAAACCAGAATCGCTTGCTAGAAGTCATCCTGAGAACAAACCTGTGTTCTGAGGAAAGTGTGTGGCCAGACTGAAATCCCAAGTACCCTCTGTATCAGACATCAGGCCCCTGAACTTCCTGAATCACCAGACATGGAAGAGGAACAGAATTGGTCGCAGGGATAGCTTCACTCCTCAAGAAGTGCCATGTACAGATGCCTCTGAGGCCTGACTACAAAGCAGTGCAGCTGGTTTACGGGGGAAAAATTCCAGAACTAATACACCCTAATGAGTGCTGTCCCTTTCAAGAGGGGTGACCTTAGGACCTGAACACTCATTTCAATGATGCTGCCATGGCTAAAAACATTTTGGATCTCTTTAAGTATTGCCTTTGAAACTGAGACATGAGCAACTCAACATTAGTTGTATTCCTTCGTAGAAATATCACGTTAAGAGTCATTTTTCTATCAAATTGTATCCTAACCTGAACCTTTGTCATCTGTTGGACTCTGTGTGGTTGGTAAAAAGCAGCCTTGAAAGTATGGACATGATTTCTGAAGAGTACATCTTTACTAAAACTAAAAATAGAATTACCATATGACCCAGCAATCCCACTCCTGGGCATATACCCAGAGAAAAGACACATGCATCCTAATGTTTATTGTAGCACTATTTACAATAGCCAGGTCATGGAAGCAACCTAAATGCCCATTGACAGATGAGTGGATAAAGAAGATGTGGTACCTATATACAATGGAATATAACTCAGCCATAAAAAGGAACAAAATTGGGTCATTTGTAGAGATGTGGATGGACCTAGAGATTGTCATACAGAATGAAGTAAATCAGAAAGAGAAAAACAAATATCGTGTATTAATGCATATATGTGGAATCTAGAAAAATGGTACAGATAAACTGGTTTGCAAGGCAGAAATAGAGACACAGATGTAGAGAACAAACGTATGGACACCAAGGGGGGAAAGCGGGGAGTTAGGGGGGATGAACTGAGAGATTGAGATTGACATGTATACACTAATATGTATAAAATAGATAACTAATAGGAACCTGCTGTATAAAAATAAATAAATAAAATTTAAGAAAAAGAGTACATCTTTACTGACTTTCAAAAGCAACTGCCCAATATTTATTTATTGAGAGTTTTTTAGTGTGCTCTAGGTCAGTACTTTTATAGATTATAATTATGTGGTAATTTATCCTTCCTAGTTCTTTAATCCTGAATGATGGTTGGAAAAGGCCCGGAACAGGGAGATGAGTTGCCGTGTTCACAGTGCTCGTTGTTAGCATGTGATGGTATTTGGCTTGGAAATGTTGCGTTGCATTTTTTGAACCCTCAGGCTTCAAGAACAGCTATGACGTTTTCCAAAGTGCAGAAATGCTCCAAATGACAAAATTGAAAACCAAAAACTTTGTCATTCAAACAAAAAAGATACCAACAAGAGAAACTTAAAGACAATTTGATTTAGCAATAACTGATGTAGGTCACTTCACTTAAGCCCTAGTTTCCTCTTCTGCAGAATGATATCACTGTACCAGAGGACCTCTTAAGTTTCATTCCAGATCTGAAATTCTCTCAACAAGCCTCTCGTTGACCCATGTAAGGACTTTGCACTTGGAATGATGGAGCTCCCACAGTAGCAGGAGCCTTATTTTAGGGGGTCTTTTTTATCCCCCTACTACCTATCCCCCTCTTGTGGTTAAAAGCATACCTCCTCCCCAGACCCCATTGGCAGAAATCCATCCCCTGCTTCTCTGGTGCTTCTTGCACCAAAAAGAGTTGGCGGGGGAGAGAATTTTCATGCTTTTCCTTGGTGACAAGAATAAGGAACTGCACTTCTATGAGTTTTTGAGGAGAAGAGAATATAAGGAGATTCCCCATTATACTGCTCATTTGTCCTATGAACTATTCGGATTCACTCACTGCAAATCTTACATTATGTTCACTGCCATTCCTTGGCGTTCAGGAGTATAAAGGACTTATTTTACTTAGAACCAAGATCAAATAGTATGAAAGATTTTCATTTATGCAAGTAACATTGTTCAAAAATAGTCTTTAAAAAATATACCAATGTTTTCTTTACACATGGCTTAGGAGGCATTAATTTCTCTAATGCCAAATTTGAAGGCGCCAGCAAATATTATGTATGGGGACTGACATTGTTTTACAAAACATGACCTGGTTTGTGATTAAAGGAGCTTTCTCACATTAAAAAATAAAAAATAAAACAACTTTTAAAAATGTGTGCTGGACATTCGTATTTAGGGTCCTAGTAGCTACACCCTATTTTGTGGTAAAAACATTTCAGATTCACTTTGGGGAAAGTGACGCTGACTACATCGTCAGCACTGGGGACATAAAACAGGGGCCAAAGCTGATTGGCACCTTTTATTGCACTGACCTCAGGGGCTAATGAGACAAAAACGCTACTTCTGGCTGTGAAGAAGTACTTTTTCTTTTTCACTGGATTTGAACCTAAGAGGCTGCCACCATCTTGCCATCCCTGTGAAACAGGGGATGCAGCCAATGCTTGAAGGAATAGCTGAGAGGTGAAGAGACTATGCCAGTGAGGTCACAGCCCTCAAACCTCAGTACACCTGAAGCTGACGCTTCACCTGACCCCCCTTCTCCTGAGTCAAAAATTCCCTTTTTGCCCCAGCCACTTTGAGTTGTCTCCCGAAATAGTCAATCAAAAGAGCCCTGAGGGGAGAGCAGCTCGGGGCTCTGTGACCACCTAGAGCAGTGGGATAGCGAGGGTGGGAGGGAGACGCAAGAGGGAGGGGATATGGGGATATATGTATATGTATAGCTGATTCACTTTGTTATAAAGCAGAAACTAACACGCCATTGTAAAGCAATTATACTCCAATAAAGATGTTTAAAAAAACCCAATTTTTAAGTAAAATATTTACATATAGAGTAAAAAAAAGAAAGAAAGAAAAGAGCCCTGAGAAAAAAGATGCCAATCTGGTTTGTTTTTTTTGTTTTTTATACATTACAAAATGATCACCATGATAAGTCAATTACCATCTGTCACCATACAACGATACTACATTATTATTGACTACATTTCATACCTGTGACATGTACATTTCATACCTGACTCATTCATTTTGTAACCGGAAATTTGTACCTCTTAATAGCCCTCACCTATTTCCCCTTCCCTCTGGAAGCTACCTGTTTATTCTGTGTATCTATGACTTTGTTTTTTTCTTTTTTAACATATGTTCATTTATTTTGTTTTTAAATTCCACATATAAGTGAAATCATATGGTATTTGTCTTTCTCTGACTTATTTCATTTAGCATAACACCCTCCAGGTCCATCCATGTTGTTGCAAATGACAAGAGTTCATTCTTTTTTACAACTGAGTGATATTCCACTGTGTGTGTGTGTGTGTGTGTGTGTATGTATATACCACATCTTCTTTATCCATTTGTCTATTGATGGGCACTTAGCTTGCTTCCTTATCTTGGTTATTGTAAATAGTAAGCATAGGGGTGCCAGTCTGGTTTATCATCTTAATTATTTCAATTACGAAGAAAAATTAAGTGTTCACGTCACTTATATCAAAACAGGCAACATGACCATCTCAGATAGAGCCACTTACCTTGTACCTCAGCGTCCCCCGTAATAAAGTGTGAGCAGACGGAATGCCATAAATCTCAGCATATTTGGTACTGTCTCTGTTAGGATAACTTTCCAAATTTAATCCAGGGAAATAATCCATAGGAGTAACCGAATCCAGAAAGGAGACACCCCCTACCACATTCACAACCTGAGGAACATTGAAAAGGCACACATGGGGTTAAGAAAGTGTATTCCTCTTTGCATTTACCTGCATTAGTTTCATAAGAAAGAAATCCAGGTTTTACAAGAAAGCAATAGGGGATTTGAAAAACAAAATTTTATAAAACTACGCTAATCAACATCCCATATTCAAGCTGTTTTACTAATATCATAATTCACAAGGCCATTGTTCTCCCAAGCTTTAAAATCTGACTTAAAGCATTTCGTTTTTTACTCAGATCTTGTTTCTGATTTTTCCTTGCCCCTGGATGAGATGGCACTGGATTATGTCTCAGTAGAGTTTTGTTTTGTTTTTAAATAAACAATACGCTATAAGCAACAGATACTCAAAGTGGCTTCTGTGCTCAAACAGCAATGGCCACATTCTCATTCTGTTCTTTCTCTTCACTCCCATCCCCCTTCTTGAATGCTAGCTACATCAGGCACCAGTCTTGCACATCCATTCACACAGCTAGCATTTACGGACCACCTGCTATGTGTGTGCCAGGATCACACCTGGGAATAAGGACAGTGACGAATAAGATTCAACTCCTGCCTCCGTGCAATCCTTTGTTCATTGAACAAACCTTTACTTAATGTCTACCAAGACCCAGGAGCTGCACTAGAACAACAATAAAGTGCTACAGCCTGGACTAGTCAACCAACATGTGTATGTTGGGAAATGGAGTGGGGGAGATGCCTTCTCACAAGGACAATGCAATGAACATACAGTGAAACTCAAAAAAAAAAAAAAATACTACCTCCTGATCTCACTGCCTCTGAGAAGTTATGTCACCGATTCCCAAGCTCTTCTGCTTTCTCAGTAATCCTTGTTCCTACATCTCTGCCCCCATCATACACAATCAAAATGCGTGAAGCATTTTTTCCCGTTAATTTTGATTAAAGGGCTAAATTTTTCTTTCAGTTTGTGAGGTTGATGATCATCCTTGAGATCATGGAAAACATTCTGGAGTAATAAAATCAGGGCTGAGAATCCTGGTGGAACTAGACTTTTTGTCCTGCTTGCACCACTGGAAACAATCTCTGACCACATCTAAAAGCTGCACGAAGAAACACTGCACAAGGGAGCTGGTGACGTACCTTCTGGCGGAGTCTGAGCAATTTGCTGAAAGGAGTCTTCGGCTAAACTTAATGATTCACAGGGTTTATTTGTAGGGAGGTTCTGAGTATGTCTTGGTATGAAAGGGAAAATGGAAAGGTATGTATATGTATAGCTGAAGCCCCAGAAGGAAACGGGCAGTGCTGACCACAGAGTCATGCCTGGAGAGGCCTCCGCAGTCAAAGGCTCACTTTGAAGAGCACCAAGGACCATCAAAAATCCCAAGAGTGAGGGGCTTCCCTGGTGGCGCAGTGGTTGGCGGTCCACCTGCCGATGCAGGGGACACGGGTTCGTGCCCCGGTCCGGGAGGATCCCACATGCCGTGGAGCGGCTGGGCCCGTAAGCCATGGCCGCTGAGCCTGCACGTCCGGAGCCTGTGCTCCGCAACGGGAGAGGCCACAGCGGTGAGAGGCCCGCGTATAGCAAAAAACAAAACAAAACAAAACAAAAAAATCCCAAGAGTGGGAATCAGAAGGAAGTGAGGAATGCTTTTCATTTAAGTTTCTTGTCAAACTCTTCTGAACTTCACAGTAAACATTTCCTGAAGAGCCATTTCTGTATTTTTCTTTAAAACAAATTTCTTCCATCAGGATTCTAAATTTTTTTTTAAAAGTCTAATAAAGAGGCAAATGTTGACTTTTAGGGTCTTCCCACCTATCTCTCTTCTACAACCTATGGCAATTCTAAAGTCTGGTTTACTTGTTTGCAGGTTAGGGATTTTTAAAGAAAAATTCAATAAAGACCACTATATTCCAGCACTGTACTGATCAGAAATAAATCAGCTGGTTCCTAAGTCTATCCTGAGATCCTTGTAAAGAAAACAGGGAAAATATAAGCTGGATGGTAATGATCCATTTAGAGACTGACGGCTGCTGAAGGAACTTGACCCCCAAATTACTGGGTCATTTGATATCAATTCAGAGTTGTATTTCTAGTGTCCTATCGTGGGATTCATTAATAAGCCCCGCCCTATATGACAGATAAGAAAGAGAGGCATATTTTTCCATTTGGCAGAGAATATGCATTTTTTTTTCTGACTCAACAATGATTCCATCCAAGACCCACTCCCAGCAGAAACAGTGGCTCATTACTCGCTGCTGGTGCAGACTGCTCTAAGTGTGACTCTTCCCCACACATGCGCCCACACCCACACGTCCCCCAACCACTGAGAACCACTGACAATAAGCTGGATTACTAAACCAACAAGACATTTAACACAGGCAATATACAGACAAGCATTTAGGAGGGCCCACTGTGTGCCAGGTGCCTTATATACATCACCTTTAATCCACGCAATAACCCACTGTTCAGAGGTAAAAACTGAGGCTGATAGAGTCACCCAGGGGCAGATTTAAACCCATGTCTATTTGACTCCAGTGTCCGTGTTCTTTTTACTATACCATACCGTCCCCTTAATTGTGCTCATCTGTGGATCAGTAGTTTGAAAAGGATATTAATTGAGTAGGTACAGCATTCCTGATCATGCCACCAGTGATGCACCTGAAAATTAAGAATGGCTGTAGGTGGGCTTCCCTGGTGGCGCAGTGGTTAAGAATCCACCTGCCAATGCAGGGGACACTGGTTCAAGCCCTGGTCCGGGAAGATCCCACATACCGCGGAGCAACTAAGCCCGTGTGCCACAACTACTGAGCCTGCACTCTATAGCCCGCAAGCCACAACTACTGAAGCCCGTGAGCCACAACTACTGAAGCCTGCGCACCTAGAGCCCATGCTCCGCAACAAGAGAAGTCACTGCAATGAGAAGCCTGTGCACTGCAACGAAGAGTAGCCCCCGCTTGCCGCAACTAGAGAAAGCCCGCGTGCAGCAACAAAGACCCAGCATAGCCAAAAATAATAAATAAAATAAATTAAAAAAAAAAAAGAATGGCTGCAGGCAATAGAGAGCAGCAGCTACAGAGGGAAGGCTGGGTGCTACAGTCAAGGGAGGGGAAGGCAATAGGAAGAGAGCCAGAAAACCTATCTCAAATCTGTGTTTGCAGAGCGAGCACGATCCTTACTTAGTGTATTTGTTTAGCTTGGGAGTGGCTTGGGATAGGAGGCTGAAGGAGATGATGGCGAAGGTCTGCCATGTCACCCCCAGGTGTCACCAATGTCCCACCACCCATGGAGGGAACAGAACTCAGAGAAGGCACAGTCACTGTCTCCAAACATGTGGAAGGAAATCAGATGCATTAGAAACAGGATTAGAAGTTAGAAGTTAGCAGTAGTACCAGAGGTAGATCTTGTCCTACATCCTTGCAGTTATTTCCAATGAGATACATCCTAATTCCTAGACCACTGCCTGAGTTGCTGGAAAAGTTTAAGGTTTCAACTTAAAAGCAGAAGCCAGGGGCTTCCCTGGTGGCGCAGTGGTTGAGAGTCCGCCTGCCGATGCAGGGGACGTGGGTTCGTGCCCCGGTCCGGGAAGATCCCACATGCCGCGGAGCGGCTGGGCCCGTGAGCCATGGCCGCTGAGCCTGCGCGTCCAGAGCCTGTGCTCCGCAACGGGAGAGGCCACAACAATGAGAGACCCGCGTACCCCCCCAAAAAAAAAAAAAAAAAGCAGAAGCCAGAGAAGTCACCTGGCTCCCCCGTGATGATTCTGTGTATTGCATAAGGCCTGCTCCATGGTGGAGGGTGATGGTGACAGAGGCAATAGAGGAACAAGAGAGGTTTTGAGTTGTTTAACAATCTGGGTTAGGAGACAGACCAACACACTTGAATTACTGAGTGAATAATACAGCATCCGGAAAAAGTGTTAGACACAGACAACCAAAGTGTGGGAGTTCAGACAAAAGAATAGTGAACAGGGGCTGGAGTGGTCAGGAAGAGCTGCGTCCACAAGAGGAGACCTTGAAAAAAGTATGATTTTAGCAAAGAGAAGAAAAGCATCGTGTTTTCTCTTGGTGTCCTCCACAGTGTCAGGGAGATGCAAAAAGCACTCCTCTTTTACAAAAGGAGTTCAGGATAAAAGGGATAAACTTCAAATTCAACAAATACAACTTTTGCTGCCTGAAAATAACCTCTTGCTTTTCCTGAGCTCCTACCACCATTAATTTCTTTACGCAGCTGATGTTCACTAGGGGCTTACGACAAGCCCAAAGACCTGCTGTGGGGCAGACTGTAATCTATATGACCTCACTGAGCCCTACTGCAAGAACCCTGCAAGGCTGGTGGGATTACGCTTATCTTCAGGCAAGGAGCTCAAAGCTCAGAGAGATGAAATGATTGTTCTAGTGCCACCCAGCCAGCAATGGCAGAGCTAGAGGACCAAGTCAGACACACTGGTATCAGGTTCCATGCTCTTTCTGTTGCACATTGCATTCCACTGACCTTCTCCTTGTTATCATCTTTATCTCTTTTTTTTTGCGGTACACGGGCCTCTCACTGTTGTGGCCTCTCCCGTTGCGGAGCACAGGCTCCAGATGCGCAGGCTCAGCGGCCATGGCTCACGGGCCCAGCCGCTCCGTGGCATGTGGGATCTTTCCGGGCCGGGGCATGAATCCGCATCCCCTGCATCGGCAGGTGGACCCTCAACCACTGCGCCACCAGGGAAGCCCTCTTTATCTTTTATATGGCCTCCTGAGAATAAGCATTTTACCCAGCTGAAGCAGAATTCTTCCTGCATTCACATGTGAGTTTATACCAAACATAGGCCAGTCTCTGTTCCATGACTGCAGAAGGTAGAAGGGGCAGTTGAAGAGGAGATCGGCAGTAGCATAGAAAAGGGCGTGTGTCTGGTAGAACGTGAGACTGAGACCCAAACTTTCATGATTCTTAGAATTGGAGAACTAGATTGCCTGGCCTTTGGTGACACTGAGGGATGTCAGCACTTGGACCACAACTCAAGGGTTCTGTTTCATATCCTGAACCATGTGAATGTGTCTTTCCAGAATCAAGGTCAAGTGTCTTGCTTGTCCAGTAGCGTTTTCAGTGCAGCTGTGGTCCTCTGGTCACTAAGTCAGTCCATCTCAAATTCAGCTGCACATTAGAACCATTTGGGAAGTTTTTAAAGATCCCCAAGCCCAAGCAAATCAGAATCTCTGGGGATGAGGCCCAGACATCAGGATTTTTTTTAAAGTGCCTTGGTGATTCCAGCATTCAGCCAAGGCCGTGAGCCCCTCACAGGTACAGAAGTCGATGGCTGACAATGACATTCACCTTAAGAAATTCTTTCAATTTACTCCGGTTTTTACACGAAATACATTTAGATCACAGATACACTGAGAACTTATAATATTGCTGCCAGGATAATCTTTGTTAAGACCCACATCTGATCAAGTAATTCATCACTCCCTGCAGAGCTGGGACTATGGTGAGGTGGGTGAGGTGCTTAGGGCACAAAATATAAAGAGGAACCCTTGGTCTAGTTATGTCTGTTCCTAAATGTGAGTCTTTCCTTACAATCAAGAGCATGAACCATGAAAGCAGACAGACGTGATTTGGACACTGCTGAGCACGGTCATGAGTGGCAGCGTCTCTGCCAGGCTGGCGCCTTCTTATCCCTCAAGGCTGAGCACATCTTCTCTTCCCTGTTAATTTTCCTCTCCCCGACCTCCTCACCAAGGTCAAGTCAAAAGTCAATTGAACCTAGGGGTAAGAGAGGAATAAAGACACAGACCTACTAGAGAACGGACTAGAGGATATGGGGAGGGGGAAGGGTGAGCTGTGACAAAGCGAGAGAGAGGTATGGACATATATACACTACCAAAGGTAAGGCAGATAGCTAGTGGGAAGCAGCCGCATAGCACCGGGAGATCAGCTCGGTGCTTTGTGACCGCCTGGAGGGGTGGGATAGGGAGGGTGGGAGGGAGGGAGACACAAGAGGGAAGAGATATGGGAACATATGTACATGTATAACTGATTCCCTTTGTTATAAAGCAGAAACTAACACACCATTGTAAAGCAATTATACCCCGATAAAGATGTTAAAAAAAAAAAAAGTCAATTGGCCTCTCATCTGCATCGCTGTGGCACTTTAGCATACTTTGGAACTTCTCTCATTGAATTATACCTATTTATTCTACTGTCTGCCTTTCCTGCCATGAAGCGATCTGGTAAAAGAGGGGGGAAAAAGGCTTTAGAGTTAGTTAGATCTGGGTTTGAATCCCAGCTGCATGACTGTGAACATTCTCTTTGCGCCACAGTTTCCTTATAGTAAAATGATGAAAATAGTACTAAACTCAGAGCCCTCTTACATTCTGCCACACAGCAGCTGGGAGGAAATCTTAGTTTCCTTCCTTGACCCATCACACCCTCCATTCCGAGAGCTACCCCCATTCTAGTTGTGAGTTCTCTGAGATCAGAAACTTCATTCAGCCTGACAACCTTTAGTGCCTTGGCCCAAGTCTAGCACATAGTATGGACTCAGTAAATGTTTGTCAGGCTGAGATAAATTGCAAGATGACCAGTAGTTATGCACGCAGAGAAGTTAAGAAGTGAGTGTTTCAACGGCAGAAACAACTTGCAAGAGGGCAAAGAGGAAAGAATGAGCCTGGGCTTTGCTGGGAACCGTGAGGAGACCACACAGAATGGAACAGAAAACACACACTGGGAAACAGTGCAGGAGGAGAATGGAGAGCAAGCAGCACAGCCAGCGTTAAAGGGCGTTGGTATTGGGGAGAAAGTGTTTGGACTTTCTTAGGCAGTTACTGCAGGTTTGTATCTCTAAAGCTTTGATGATGAGCCTTCACCTTTCCATTGAGCAGGTAGGTGGCGGGCTGCATTATGTTCATCAAAACTCCCACTGGACTCCAGCTAAATTTGTATCTCAAAGGATTGTCTGAATGTTCGGGGGCTGGAAGGCCACCACAGTAGGAAACATAAGATTCAATCTGTAAGATAAAGAATCAATAAATTAGGGAAATTAACAATTAGTTACGGAGAATAATCTATCCAAATCTATCCGAGTAATTAATTGAGTACAGTGACACAAATAAGGTAAACTTGTTACAGTTTCTCCTTTCTTAAAGTTACAAAGGCTTTCAAAAATACATCCTTAAAGCCAAACACCATTTGGTGTTTGTCAGTTATATTTAGATTAAGTCAGTTATATTTATATATATATATATATGTGTGTTTACATATATATATATTTTTTAATCATCTAGAGATTGTGGCTAACATTTTGCTCCGTTAAAAATCCAACCATTAGTTCAATTCTGCTTGGTCAGTGCCTCCTGACTTTTAATTCAAATTATATACTTCATTATAATTTGATTATATATGTATAATTATTAGTATTAATTAATATGTAATTAATATAAATATTATTAATTGATATGATATATAATTTAATTAATTTGATTCTATATTTGATTATATATATTACATATGTGTGTGTGTATATATATATAAAATATATATAACCTGTTTTAGGTTATATATATATTATGTTAGGTTAGGTTTAATATGAGTCATCACATTTTCATGTCCAATAGTTCTTTCTTATGTGTAAAAGATACTTTACATACCAACAGGTTGATAATATTACAAAGAATTTTTCCCACTTTTAGAAGTCAAACCTTATTATAGAATCTCCAAAGCAGTCTAAAATCTTTTATCAAACCAAAATATATATTATAGTAGCATCTATTTCTCTAAAAATCTATTGTTAAGGCTTGGACTTTTTTTTTACCATACAAATATTTCTGCAGTTTCAAAATTTTACTTGAAATTTCTAGTCAAAGTATGAGTTAGAATATAGCAGTTTCTTCTCAAAATAGACTAAAGACCCTAAATGTAACACCAGAAACCATGAAACTCCTAAAGGAAAACATAGGCAGAACACTCTTTGACACAAATTGCAGCAATGTTTTTTTGGATCTGTCTCCCAAAGCAAAGGAAATAAAAGCAAAAATAAACAAATGGGACCTAATTAAACTTAAAAGCTTTTGCACAGCAAAGGAAACTATCCACAAAGCAAAAAGACAATCTACTGAAAGGGAGAAAATATTTGCAAATGATATGACTGATAAGGGGTTAATATTCAAAATATAAGGGCTTCCCTGGTGGCGCAGTAGTTGAGAGTCCACCTGCCGATGCAGGGGACGCGGGTTCGTGCCCCGGTCCGGGAGGATCCCACATGCCGCAGAGCGGCTGGGCCCGTGAGCCATGGCCGCTGAGCCTGTGCGTCTGGAGCCTGTGCTCCGCAACGGGAGAGGCCACAACAGTGAGAGGCCCGCT